TTCGCCTTTTTTTTCAGGCACAGATTAAAATTTTTAGTTCAGGTCCTGTTCACTTTTTTTTTAGGCAAAGATTAAAATTTTTAGTTCAGGTCCTGTTCACCTTTTTTTTGGCAAAGATTAAAATTTTTAATTAAGGTCCTGTTGCCCTTTTTTTTCAGGCAAAGATTAAAATTTTTAGGCAAAATTTAAATTTTTAGTTCAGGTCCTGCTTGCCTTTTTTTTTTTTGGCAAAGATTAAAATTTTTAGTTCAGGTCCTGTTCCTATTTGCCTTTTTGGCAAAGATATTAAAATTTTTAGTTCATGTCCTGTTCGCCTTTTTTTTTTTGGCAAAGATTAAAATTTTTATTTAAGGTCCTATTTGCCTTTTTTTTTTTGGCAAAGATTACAATTTTTAGTTCAGGTCCTGTTCACTTTTTTTTTTTTTTTGGCAAAGATTAAAATTTTTATTTAAGGTCCTATTTGCCTTTTTTTTTTTGGCAAAGATTACAATTTTTAGTTCAGGTCCTGTTCACCTTTTTTTTAGGCAAAGATCACAATTTTTAGTTCAGATCCTCTTTGCCTTTTTTTTTGGCAAAGATTACAATTTTTTAGTTCAGGTCCTGTTGCCCTTTTTTTCAGGCAAAGATTAAAATTTTTAGGCAAAAATTAAAATTTTTAGTTCAGGTCCTGCTTGCCTTTTTTTTTTTGGCAAAGATTAAAATTTTTATTTAAGGTCCTGTTTGCCTTTTTTTTTGCCAAAGATTAAAATTTTTAGTTCAGGTCCTGCTTGCCTTTTTTTTTTGGCAAAGATTAAAATTTTTATTTAAGGTCCTGTTTGCCTTTTTTTTTTTTTGCCAAAGATTAAAATTTTTAGTTCAGGTCCTGCTTGCCTTTTTTTTTTTTGCCAAAGATTAAAATTTTTAGTTCAGGTCCTGTTTGCCTTTTTTTTAGGCCAAGATTAAAATTTTTATTTAAGGTCCTGTTCGCCTTTTTTTCTTTTTTTTTTTTTTTTTTTCAGGCAAAGTTTAAAATTTTTAGTTCAGGTCCTGTCCACCTTCCAAACTTAAGTCTTCGCTGTTTGTTTTTTTTTTTTTTTTCGTTTTTTTTTTTCTTGCCATATAGGAATTAACTTGGTGATTATATATATATATATATATATATATATATATATATATATATATATATATATAATTTTTTTTTTTATATACTGGTTTGTGTGTTAAAATACCTTGAGGGGCCCCTGAACCTATCTCGGTAGAAAAATTTGTAATATTTTATTTATTTTAAGCTTTAAATATTTTTGGGATGCTGTTTTGTGGGCTGCCCTGCATATTGTATATTCTTTTAAATTTGTTGATGCCACCAAAAAGTGCACTACAGTTGCGGTAGGTTTGTGCTTTGGGACAAAGGTGTACAATGCTGTGATGACCTTTAAAAGATGTCAAGGCAACTTCTGTGGTGTCGGGTTTGTACAAGACTTGTAGTCAGAATATCAAATACAATTCAGCTGTATGCGGGCACCAAGGAGTTTATTAAAGCTTCTTTTTTTTTTGGCTTTTTTTTTTTTTTTTTCCAGTTAGCTGATTTTATCTTCCTTCCCTAGAAAGACTAGGAATATGGCTTACCCATTGAAAGACAGTTTACGTTCTTATCCCGGATGGGCCCCCAAGATTTTTTTTTTAAGGTCTTATCCCAGATGAGCCCCCAAGATTTTCTTTTTAAGGTCTTATCCCGGATGAGCCCCCAAAATTTTCTTTTTACGGTCTTATCCTGGATGAGCCCCCAAGATTTTTTTTTTATGTAATGTTTATATCCCATATGGGCCACCAAGATTTTCTTTTTAAGGTCTTATCCAGGATGAGCCCCCAAGATTTTTTTTTTTTTTTAATGGCCTTATCCCGGATGAGCCCCCAAGATTTTCTTTTTATGGTCTTATCCCAGATGAGCCCCCAAGATTTTCTTTTTATGGTCTTATCCAGGATGAGCCCCCAAGATTTTTTTTTTTTTTTAATGGTCTTATCCCGGATGAGCCCCCAAGATTTTTTTTTTTTTTAAGGATCCCGGATGAGCCCCCAAGATTTTTTTTTTTTTTATGGTCTTATCCCGGATGAGCCCCCAAGATTTTCTTTTTAAGGTCTTATCCCGGATGAGCCCCCAAAATTTTTTTTTCTTTTTACGGTCTTATCCCGGATGAGCCCCCAAGATTTTTTTTTTTTTGTAATGTTTATATCCCGTATGGGCCCCAAGATTTTCTTTTTAAGGTCTTATCCAGGATGGACCCCCAAGATTTTCTTTTTAAGGTCTTATCCAGGATGGACCCCCAAGATTTTCTTTTTACGGTCTTATCCCGGATGAGCCCCCAAGATTTTTTTTTTTGTAATGTTTATATCCCGGATGAGCCCCCAAGATTTTCTCTTTACGGTCTTATCCCGGATGAGCCCCTAAGATTTTTTTTTTTTTTTTATGGTCTTATCCCGGATGAGCCCCCAAGATTTTCTTTTTAAGGTCTTATCCAGGTTGAGCCCCCAAGATTTTTTTTTTTTTTTAAATGTTCATATCCCGGATGAGCCCCCCAAGATTTTCTTTTTAAGGTCTTATCCCGGATGAGATTTTCTTTTTAAGGTCTTATCCCGGATGAGATTTTCTTTTTACAGTCTTTTCCCGGATGAGCCCCCAAGATTTTCTTTTTAAGGTCTTATCCCGGATGAGCCCCCAAGATTTTTTTTTTGTAATGTTTATATCCCGTATGGGCCCCCAAGATTTTCTTTTTAAGGTCTCATCCCGGATGAGCCCCCAATATTTTTTCTTTAGGATCTTATCCCGGATGAGCCCCCAAGATTTTTTTTTTTATGGTGTTATCCCGGATGAGCCCCCAAAATGTTCTTTTTACGGTCTTATCCCGGATGAGCCCCCAAGATTTTCTTTTTAAGGTCTTATCCCGGATGAGCCCCCCCAATTTTTTTTTTACTTTTTAGTGTTTATATCCCGTATGGACCCCCAAGATTTTCTTTTTAAGGTCTTATCCAGGTTGAGCCCCCAAGATTTTTTTTTTTTTTTTAAATATTCATATCCCGGATGAGCCCCCAAGTTTTTATTTTAACAAGAAAATGGAATGACCCACTTTTTTTTTTTTTTTTTTTTTTTTTTTTTTTTTTTAGGTGAGGTGTTAGCAGAGTTATGGGGTGCCCTTCAGGACGGTAGAAGAAGTTGACCTGTCCAGGTGTATATATAAAAACAACAGTCTACAGTCTATGGGGTTGGAAGGCACAGAACAAATACACATTAGGGGCAGACCTTCATTCCTCATTTATCCCTGTCATCTATTTTTGATGAAAAGCAGGTAGTGAATACGGGTAACGTGGGTCCTAAAAAAAAAAAAAAAATCCTAATGTCCATTTTATATGCTGAATTATAGCAGCCAATATTAAAATAGCTTTTATCTGGCAAGGTAGGAAATGGAATGATTTTTTATTTTATTATATTTATTTTATTTTTTTTTTTACTGTCACAGGTTAATTTTGGTTCTCTATCATCGTATTCATCCATCCTTGGATTTTATGGAGAAATCAGGAGTTTTTTTTTTTTTTTTTTTTTTTTTTTTATGCAGGGGCTTGTAAGCCCATAAATGCCAGTGCAATTATGGAAAAAAAAAAAAATTTCTTTTTCTTGCAGTGTGACCAACTTTGCAAGGAGAAATTTTTTTTTTAATGTTTTTAAGTCGGTCATACCATTAAAAAAAAAAAAAAAAAAAATGTATAAACTCTACTTCCAAGGAATACCTAACTTTGACATAACACCCATAGTTTCATATGCTTGTCTTGAAAATTAAATTGATTTTTTTTTTTTTTTTTTTTAGAATAAAATCTGTAAAAAAAAAAAAAAAAAAATTAGAATTTTTCTACTGCTTAGGTCATGTGCGGATCTAAAGATCATGTCTTTGTTAATTTAGTAAAGAAGGCGATGATACGGGTAAAAATCTGCTTCAAGAGCACCATAGGTCTCATGGCTGAGGGAAAAAAAAAAAGGTGCAAGTAATTATTATAATTGATCAGTTTGGACGATAACCTTAGTGTCCTTATTTTTAGTTTAGCGTAGGGAGCCATTTTTGCGCCGTAGGGTCAATAGTCTAGAACAGCCTTTCTCAACTTTTTTTTTTTTTTTAACTTCAGGAGAACCCTTAAAATAATTTTCAGGTCTCACAGAACCTCTGCTAAAATTAAATAGTAGGAAGAATGGCCCTCTTAGTGGTGACCATGAGGACTACAAAAAAGAATTATTGGTTATGGACCCAGAGCTATGTGGGCACCGTCAGACAGAAGGTCAATCAGCCACAGCTCAAAGGGAATCCTCTGGAGTAGTGTTTCCCAACCTTTTTGAACCCTTGAAATAACTTTCCATTCTCAGGGGAACCCCTGCTAAAAATACCTGCATCTACTACTCCTGATACGTGTGATAATCGGTGACAATGCTCCTTACTCTTGTGGTCGTTGGCAAGAATTCTTTCCTTACAGATTGTTAAAAAGATCAGTGGTGTTAGTGGGAACTTATCTGAGGGGCAAAAGTGCTCCTTGCTCAAGTAACCCCTAGCAACCTCTGGAGGAACCCTAGTTGAGAAACCCTACTGTGGTGGGGGAACTCTTGGTGAGAAACCCTACTGTGGGGGAACTCTGGTTGATTAACACTACTGTGGGGGAATCCTGGTTGAAAAACCCTACTGTGGGGGAACTCTGGTTGAAAAACCCTACTGTGGGGGAACTCTGGTTGAAAAACCCTACTGTGGGGGAACTCTGGTTGAAAAACCCTACTGTGGGGGAACCCTGGTTGAGAAACCCTACTGTGGGGGAACCCTGGTTGAGAAACCCTACTGTGGGGGAACCCTGGTTGAGAAACCCTACTGTGGTGGAGGAAGCCTGGTTGAGAAACCCTACTGTGGGGGGAACCCTGGTTGAGAAACCCTACTGTCCAGGAGCCCTAGTTGAGAAACCCTACTCTGGATGAACCCTAATTGAGAAAATCTACTGTGGAGGAACCCTAGTTGACAAGCTGTACTGTGGGGGAACCCTAGTTGACAAGCTGTACTGTGGGGGAACCCTAGTTGACAAGCTGTACTGTGGGGGAACCCTAGTTGAGAAACCCTACTGTGGGGGAACCCTAGTTGAGAAACCCTACTGTGGGGGAACCCTAGTTGAGAAACCCTACTGTGGGGGAACCCTACTTGAGAAACCCTACTGTGGGGGAACCCTACTTGAGAAACCCTACTGTGGGGGAACCCTACTTGAGAAACCCTACTGTGGGGGAACCCTAGTTGAGAAACCCTGCTGTGGGGGAGCCCTAGTTCAGAAACCCTACTGTGGGGGAGCCCTAGTTCAGAAATCCTACTGTGGGGGAACCCTAGTTAAGAAACCCTACTGTGGGGGAACCCTGGTTGAGAAACTACTGCGGGGGAACCCTGGTTGGGAAACTCTACTGTGGGGGAACCCTGGTTAAGTAACCCTACTCTGGAGGAACCCTAGTTGAGAAACTACTGTGGGGGAACCCTGGTTGAGAAACCCTACTGTTGGGAAACCCTGGTTGAGAAACCCTACTGTGGGGGAACCCTACTGTGTGGGAACTCTGGTTGAGGAACTCTACTGTTGGGGGAACCCTGGTTGAGAAACTACTGTGGGGGAACCCTGGTTGAGAAACCCTACTCTGGAGGAACCCTGGTTGAGAAACCCTACTCTGGAGGAACCCTGGTTGAGAAACCCTACTCTGGAGGAACCCTGGTTGAGAAACCCTACTCTGGAGGAACCCTGGTTGAGAAACCCTACTCTGGAGGAACCCTGGTTGAGAAACCCTACTCTGGAGGAACCCTGGTTGAGAAACCCTACTGTGGAGGAACCCTAATTGAGAAACTCTACTGTGGAGGAACCCTGGTTGAGAAAACCTACTCTGGAGGAACCCTGGTTGAGAATGGCTGGTCTAGAATATCATTGGTAATGCCCTCCATATTTTCTCCAGGTCAGCAGTTCACTAAGTAGTAGATGACCATGAGCTGGTTTGTGGCCAGTGAACTCCCGCGACATGCAATGCTCAACGACTTAGCAACCAGGCTGAGAACGACCTTCACGAAAACCAGTACCCATGGCAACATCGAAGCTTCCATTGCCGATCTCCTGAAAAGGTGGGCAGTCTTGATGTTTTGACCCTCTCCGTACATTGTTGACCTGGAACACATTTTCAGAGCAGGCTTCCTTTTTACAAACCAAAGTCTGCGATTCCTCCTGGCGGGGACTCCCTTTAATCCATAGCAACAAAAAACAAAATGGCTCCACCCCCCGGCGGGAGACGAATTTCCCCCTCTTCATGTAACATACCGTAAGATCGGGATTGAACGGTTTTAGTCTCTTGGCGGAGGAACAGCGGATCCAGGCAGTGGGAAACGACAATATTTAAAATTATACAAAAAAAATAAAAAATCATAATACAAAACGTAACGAACACGACATGAAGAACGCCATCGGCTCCCTCCCAGCAGTTTGAAAATAAAAAAAAAAATAAATCAATGATCGTACAGAAATGTGTTTTTCTTCCTGTGGCCCTTGGCATACTGAGCGATCGCACAAAACAATGGGAGTGGGTGATGGGCTCCACACTGAACAATACGCAATCCTTCGCTTTCCCGTGTTTTTGTTTTGTTTTTCTTTCCTCCCCTGTGTTGGCCGCGAGCGCCTGTCGCCGCTCCTGGTGCCTCCTTCCAATCAATGCTGCTTGTGTTCGCAGGAGTCTTCTGCTGATTCACCATGGATCATACAAACAAGGAGGGGGGGCGCCCAGGGGCCCGTACCGAGGCTTCATCGACGCCCCGCACCTCGCAGGACGTCCAATAGGGACCAAGTCACTGCAACAGGTGTAATGCAGGCTGAGATTGAAGGAGGGGGGAGGGGGGGGCTGAACAATGGTATAGATCGGGGGTCGCCCAACTTTCTATACAAAGGACAAGTTTACTGTCCTTCAGACTTTGGGGGTAGAGAATGTCTCGGCATCTGTGGGAGAGGAATTGTGAACCATCGTTGGTGTTACTGGGGAATTGTGCTGTGCCATTGGGAGGTATTGTGCCCCATCATTGGTGTCATTGGGAGGAATTGTGCCCCACTGGTGTCATTGGGTAATTGTACCCCATTGGTGCCATTGGGAGGAATTGTGCCCCATCGTTGGTGTCACTGGGGAATTGTGCTGTGTCATTGGGAGGTATTGTGCCCCGTCATTGGGAGGAATTGTGCCCCATCGTTGGTGTCATTGGGAGGAATTGTGCCCCATCGTTGGTGTCATTGGGAGGAATTGTGCCCCGTCATTAGGAGGAATTGTGCCCCACCCTTGGTGTCATTGGGAGGAATTGTGTCCCATCATTGGTGTCACTGGGGAATTTTGCTGTGTCATTGGGAGGAATTGTGCCCATTGGTGTCATGGGGAATTGTGCCCCATTGGTGTCATTGGGGAATTGTACCTTATCGTTGGTGTCACTGGGGAATTTTGCTGTGTCATTGGGAAGAATTGTGCCCCATCATTGGTGTCATTCGCTGTGCCCATTATGAGGGGTTCCCCCATCCCTGTGCTGAGTTCCCGGGTCTGTACACCCGCTGTGCCCATTATGAGGAGTTCCCGCCATCCCTGTGCTGAGTTCCCGGGCCTGTACACCCGCTGTGCCCATTATGAGGGGTTCACACCATCCCTGTGCCGCGTTCCCGGGTCTGTAAGCCCGCTGTGCCCAATATGAGGGGTTCCCACCATCTCTTCTGGATTTTTTTTCTTTATTTTACATTGTGGAGAATGTAGTCGGATGAACTGGAACCCCCAAGCCTCCCAGGTGGACAGTTGAGTTCTGGCAAGGATCAGTTGGAGCATCCAAGGGCTGGCTCGGCCCAACACTCTCCACCTGTAAGTAACTGGTCACTGTTGAGTAGTCTAAGGCCGGCCATACACAGGTCAAAATTCGACCGATTTTTTGTCTGAAAATCAGACCTAAGAATAATCGGTTGATTTTTCGCTCTGTTAGTGGGGTCATTGGCACCGGCCGAATTTTGTGGTTCCGCCCCTTTATGACTCGGTTGGCCGATTTTCGAAATCATTGAAATCAAACGACTTTTAGATTTTCTGACAAAAAATTGTTCGGAATTCGACCCATGTATGGCCTGCATAACCCTTTACTTAGAGGGGCAGTAGAAGTCATCTTTTCTTAGATGTAATAATAAAGGGACGAAACCTTTAGGGGCACTCAACATTTTCCAACGAATCATTCTGATTTATACAGCTGCAAATGATACAATGGCTGAGAACAATCAACCGGCCAAGGCCACCAATCGGAACCATCAGTCCAAAGCTTGCACCACCCGCACTGCGCCTTGGCATTTGTTACATTTTTACAATTCTATTTTTTTTTTTTTTTTTTAACTACCTGTCATATGGTGACAACCTATCCCAATAGTGCTCCGGTGTTGTCACCTTGTCATATATTCCTCTGTTGGACAACAGGTGGTCACACCAATGCATATTGAACAGATATGGTCCATGGTAGTCATTATCAGGAAGCCGGTCCCGAAAATTCGATGTAGAGCAAGCGTGTGCTCAGTAGACTGGATATAGCTGAAGAAGACCAGAAGGTTAGAAAAGGATTTAAAAAAAAAAAAAAGGCAACTTTTTTGACAAACAATAAAAAAATTGGGGGACAAAACAAGCCGACGACCCTGGTCATCCAATAGGGAGGGTCTTTCGCTTTTCCTGCCTCTGTCGCCTCTCATATAAAAATTGTAATACTTCCTTTTTTTTTTTTTTTTTTTTTAAATGTATTTTTTTTATTTTCTGCATTTCCTTTGACAAAAAATAAAAAATGGCGGACAAAACAAGCTGACGACCCCGGTCATCCAATAGGGAGGGACTTTCGCTTTTCGTGCCTGTCGCCTCTCATAAAAAAAAAAAAAGGCAGGAAAAGCAAAAGACCCTCCCTATTGGATGACCGGGTTGTCGGCTTGTTTTGTCCGCAATTTTTTATTTTTTGTCAAAGGAAATGCAGAAAATAACAAAAAAAATACATAAAAAAAAAAAAAAAAGGAAGTATTACAATTTTTATATGAGAGGCGACAGAGGCAAGAAAAGTGAAAGACCCTCCCTATTGGATGACCGGGGTCGTCGGCTTGTTTTGTCCGCTATTTTTTATTTTTTGTCAAAGGAAATGCAGAAAAAAAAAAGAAATATTACAATTTTTTTAATTTTTTTTTATGTTCTGCATTTCCTTGTAATTGCACAACCCTCTTGGTAATCCTCATAAGAGCCCTGCAATTAAATGTTTCGCAAAGCAAAGAGCAGCTTCCCCTTCAGATTGTTAATTGCCGCATATTTACTCCAAATAAAGATGGTTATTAGTTTTGTCATTTTAATTCGGAGGGATGCAATTAAAAATATATCCGACGTAATCTGCGTTCTGGCCTATCTGTGCGTTGGGGACCGGGAAGCGGCGTCCAATCGCCATCGTATTACCGTTTAATACTCGGCTCGGGTGTTGCTGATTGCATCCTCACCTTTTACAGCCTAACTTGTTTTATTTTTAATAATCTTTTTTTATGCTAATCAGATCTGTAAAGTGTCAGTTTATGTTTTTTATAAAGGTTCACATGTGAAAATATATATATATATAGAGAGAGAGAGAGAGAGAGAGAGATGTATGTATATATAGAGAGAGAGAGAGATGTGTATGTATAGAGAGAGAGAGAGAGATGTATGTAGAGAGAGAGAGATGTGTATGTAGAGAGAGAGAGAGAGAGATGTGTATGTAGAGAGAGAGAGAGAGGTGTGTATGTATATATATAGAGAGAGAGAGATGTGTATGTAGAGAGAGAGAGAGAGAGAGAGAGAGATGTATAGAGAGAGAGAGAGATGTATAGAGAGAGAGATGTATAGAGAGAGAGATAGAGATGTGTATGTATATATATAGAGAGAGAGAGATGTATGTATAGAGAGAGAGAGAGAGAGAGAGAGAGATGTATG